TTTAGAGACAATGAACAAAAATGAGTTTATCTCACATTTACTGTGACCTATGACAAAAAGGAAGTTACTTTCCTGGATGTCACTATTCAAGTGAAAGATGATGCCAGCAGATTATATCACAAACCAACTGCCGGCAACACTATATTGCATGCTTCCAGCTTTCATCTCCAGGGATTGATTTAATCTATTCCCTATAGCCAATATTTGAGAACAAAGAGGAACTGCTCCGACGAGCAATCCTTCAAGGAGGAAGAACTTCAGAACAGATTATCAGAGAGAGGGTACACCAAGACCTGTTTAAAAAAAAGCCTATAAACGTGCTATTCACAACATGAGAAATGATCTCTTATATAAAGATGCTAGAAAGAAAGAATCAGATGGTCAGACTAGGATCATTATGAACTTTTCTAACCAACACAATCAAGTCAGGAACATCATTCAAAAGTACTTGCACTTACTAACCATAGATCTCATAATAGGTAAATTTGTACCCCCCACCCCCCTAATTACATTTAGAAGGACCACATTTGAATTGGAAGGTTGAATTTTCTAGAGATCCTTTCAAACTAAAAGGCACCTTTAGCTATGGAGCTTGCAACTACTGCAGATATATGTGTATGGAAGCACAACCCAGACTACCAAATGGGGTTTTCTTTAAATCCAAACATTTTGCTAACTATCAGACTGTGGGGGTGATATATTTACTCCTATGTGAATGTGGATGTGTTTATGGAGGTGAGCATATAGACACATAAAAAGTATGCAAACTGGTGACCCTGAGCTACCTCTAAGGCACCATGTCCTTATGGTACATGATGGTCAATTCCCAAAAATCGAATTTCTTTTTCTCAACCGCGTACATCCAAGCCAGAGAGCGGGGGACTGGAACAAGCTTTTGTTGCAGCTGGAGCTTTGATGGATTTTCCATCTACATGCTACATCCCCTCCTATCCTCAATGAATCGGTCAATTTCAGGCCCTTTTTGCATGGGTTTGTATCTGGTGGTATGGATATATAGAGTCCATGCATTAAGTCTTGTTTCGTCCATTTGTCCTGCCCATAGTTGTCATCGTTTTGATACCTTGTTTCATATTATACATGACTCTGACTCAATGCTCTATATGTGGAATATATATCTTTTGGTACTTTGTATTACTGTAACAAATAAATAATATTTTGAAATAACAAAATATATATGCAGCGCTCTGTAAATCATATAAAAATAATCATAAACAAAAAGTCCCCAATATTACATCTATGTTCCCTCATAATAAGGGGTTTAAAACATGCGGCAAATGTAGTGCTTGTCGTATTGTTAGAAATAGCAAAACATTGACTACTACTTTCACTGTTGTGAACGTGGAGCATGAATTCACTATATCAGAAATTTATTACTTGTGACACCACCCATATGTGTTACAATGTCCATGTAATTTGGTTTCTGTCGGGAGAACAAAAGGACCATTAAAAACACGTATAGCGGAACATATTACAAATATTAGAATCGGATTTAAAGATCATAGTGTATCAGAACACTTTTCTAAATACCATCATAAGGACCCCTCCTTATTAAAATTTTGGGGAATTGATTGGATACCCCCCAAATGGCGAGGATCAAATAGGGTTAGAGATTTATCAAAACATGAGACCAAATGGATCTTTCTTCTTAAATCATTAACACCATACGGATTAAACGTTGAATTAGATTTAAATTGCTTCATTAGTGATCTTTGAAGTTTAACTATAAGTTGAAACCCAAAAAAATGAATTATTAAACCTAATTATTGTCAATAGATGACATACCTATTATCAGTTTATAAACATTTTTTTTTTTTTTTTCCAAAAAAAACGTTTTATTGAAGTATGAAAGGTAAACAAATGATAGACAGATACGGATCGCAGTCCGTGCAACATTTCTTGTACGTTCTCCCGTAACGCAGACGGGATCAAGACAATATATTAATTTGTAGAACATCAGAGGACGGAGTTCCACAGTAAGGCAAAAGTGATATACGTAACCATAGCAATACTGACAGTAGCCTGTACTTTAGATAATTATGGTATACACTAGGCTCTATGTAAGGAGAGTACACATAAGCGGATTCTGAAGTGGTCGACAAAAGAATCCTCACAAGGCAGCTATGACATATATTTCCATCACTAAAAAATGTGGGCTACTGTTGTAGAATATTGTTACATCTGTATAGCTATGAGTGTTCCGTACCGAATGAGAATAATAACTAATTAGACTATGAGAAAAAAGGGTGTAAATGAGAGAAAGAAAAGAAAAGAAAAGAAAGAGAGGAGCGTGGGGATATAGGAAGAATATGAGATGAGATATCAAAATGAGGTGGGAAGAGACGCACATGACCAAGAGAAGGGGGGAATGGGGAGAAAAAAAAAAAAAAAAAAGGGGGAGGGGGAGGGTGGGATAAGGGGGGGGGGAAAGTGGTTGGATGATGAGGTTCTTATTTAAATAAGCATAACCAAACCAGTTACATCTATTAGTAACAGCCTGGCTGTATCTAATTCCATCTTTTTAATTAGCGATATAATTCAGTGAATGACCGTTAATGGAGTTATTGCTGAGGTGAAAGTTTTAGAGGCCTTCTGTGCCTCCAAGTCTTTCTCGTTCAAACCTTCAGCAAGCCAAGGTAAGTATCAGTAGATTGGAAATGGGTCCAACAAGCCCAAGTCTTCCTGAATCGCTCGGGGTGATCTTTTGCCACTGAGATCAGTTCCTCCATTTCAGCAATCCGCTGGATCCTAAGAATCCACTCTCGTACGGTGGGAATATAGGCTGAGCGCCAATGAACAGGGATACACTGCTTTGCCGCATTTAACATGTGTAATGCAAGGGACTTACGGTAAAACCTCTCCGGAAGGGAGGAGTGATGGAGTAGACATTGTGCTGGTGTAAAGTCTAGGGCGTAAGTGGTTACTTGTCTAATGGTGTCCAAAACTTTTCTCCAGAAGGGCTGCAGCAGCGGGCATTCCCACCATATATGTAGAAGAGTACCGGTTGCCTGGGAGCATCGCCAGCATAAATCTGGCACTTTAGGATCAAATTTATGAATCACAGATGGAACTCTGTACCATCTGGAAAAAACTTTGTAGTTACTTTCTTGTGTAGAAACACATATGGAACCTTTATGCATGTGATCGTAAATGTGGTTCCATTCCTCAGGTGAGATTGAAATTTCTAGATCATGCTGCCAGGCTGCACAGGCCTTCAGTGAGTGAGATGTATTGGAACTTTTCCAATAGGGAATATAGTTTGGATATTACATGCCTCTGTGGGAGATCTGTGAAGCAGAGTTTTTCGAAAGCAGTAAGCGGTCTTGAATAATCCTTAAGATGTGGGGAGTTACGTAGAAAATGGTGGATTTGTCTATACATCCAAGGCGTTAAGGTAAGGGCTGGCCACGCCTTTGTAATGTCTTCTCTAGATCGGAGCTTAGAATCTTTGAGAAATTGACGTACTGTTAGGTTATCTTCCCGTTTATACCCAGCGAGAAAGGTCGTAGACATCCCTGGAATAAAGTCCGGGTTCAATTTGATCGGAGTGAAAGGGCTCGGAGATGAAGAAAGTACTTTTTCCTGAAACACTTGCGCGCTACATCGTAAAGTGGGACCTATAAGTGGGTGCATCCAAAATTCAGAAGGGACATGGGCGGTTTTCAGCCATGGGGAGGTGGAAAGTGGTATCTTCGAAAAATCAGCCTCCAAACCGACCCAGATCTTACGAATGTGATTCGTGGTCCAGTCTACTAATCTGGCTAGGTGACAAGACCTGTAGTAACGAGAAATATCCGGTAATCCAATACCTCCATTCTGCTTGGGCATAGTGAGTTGGGTGAAGCTGATTCTTGGGCGTTTATTATACCAAAGAAAAGAGGAGCAGAGCGTTTTATATGATTGAAAGAATGAATTTGGTAATTGAATTGGTATTGTTTGTAGTAAATATAATATTCTGGGGAGCACGTTCATCTTAAGTATGGCTGCTCTACCAAACCAAGAGAACCAAGGTTTATTCCACGTCTGAAGGTCTTTGGAAATGTTACGTAAGAGGGGTAGAAAATTTGTTGCATATAGTTCGGTAAGATGGGATGGTAGTTGGATACCTAAATAAGTGATAGTTTCTCGTTGCCAGGTAAAGGGAAAGTTTGATGTCGCTTGTTTAACCACCTCCGGTTTTAATGATACATTAAGCGCTTGGGATTTAGAAAAGTTAATTTTGAAGTTAGCCAAATATTGAAATAATTTGAAATCCTGTAACAAATTAGGTATCGTGATATGAGGATCTGTCAGGAAAAGCAGTATGTCGTCAGCAAAGGCTGCCACTTTATGCGTTTTGCCATTGATCAAAATCCCTTTAATGTTGGCATTATCTTTAATGCAATTCAATAAGGGTTCCAGCGTAAGAATGAATAAGAGAGGTGACAGTGGGCATCCCTGTCTGGTCCCGTTGCTGATCAGAAAAGAGTCTGATAGGTGTCCGTTCACTCGCACATAACATTTTAATTTATTATTTATTTTATTTAATATTATATTGGGTTTTTTTTTTATGATTTTATAATTGTATATATATTAATTAAAGTTTAAGTTTATAATATATGGTTGTGTAATATGTTTGTAAAGGCCCAAACATGTATGATGTTGTATTTGTATCTATTAATAGATTGTTAATATGTATTTATGCATTGTTATGAATATTTGATATAGTCTGCCCTTAACTACTTGCCAACAGCAGATAGCTGAATGACGGCTACACTGCGGCCGGCCAGTTCTGGGAGGGCGTCATATGACGTCCTCCCAGAACACACTCTCCTGTGTTCCCCAGGGGGCGCGCACCCAGCGATCTCCGTGACACGCTGATCACCGGGAAATGCAATTGCCAGTTCTCGGCTGCACTTTCCTCACGCTGTCAGAGCGTGAGGAAAGTACTGCCAAGAACCGGCAGTTGTCAGAGCAGGGATCGGCACCAATCATCAGGGCACTGATGATCAGTGCTCTGATGATTGGTGCCCAGCAGTGCCACCCACCAGTTCTGCCCACCTGTGCCCAGCAGTGCACCCACCTGTGCCCAGCAGTGCACTCACCTGTGCCACCTAGCAGTGCCATACACCTGTGCCCAGAAGTGCCACCTACCTGTGCCCAGCAGTGCCCACCACCTGTGCCCACCAGTGCCACCCACCAGTGCCCATCAGTGCAGCTCAGCAGTGCTGTCAGTCAGTGCCACCAGTCAGTGCCCAGCGGTTGTGCCAGTCAGTGCCCAGCAGTTGCGCCAGTCAATGCCTAGCAGTGCCGCCAGTCAGTGCCCAGCAGTGATGCCAGTCAGTGCCACCTATCAGTGCTGTCTATCAATGCCACCTATCAGTGCCGCCTATCTGTGCCACCTCATTAGTGCTGCCTATCAGTGCCGCCTATCAGTGCTGCCTATCAGTGCCCATCAGTGCTGCCTATCAGTGCCCATCAGTGCTGCCTATTAGTGCCCATCAGTGCTGCCTCATCAACGCACATCAGTGAAGGAGAAAAATTACCTGTTTGAAAAATTTTATAATAGCAACAAAGAAACTTTTTTTTTTTTCAAATGTTTTGCACTTTTTTTGCTTATAGCGCAAAAAGTAAAGTGCCCAGCCGTGACTGAATACCACCAAAAGAAAGCTCTATTTGTGAGAAGCAAATGCTAAAAATTTAATATAGGTACAATCTTGCATGACAGCGCAATTGTCAATCAAAGTGCAACAGCGCTGAAAGCTGAAAATTGGCCTGGTAAAGAAGGGGTATAAGTGCCCAGTAGGCAAGTGGTTAAACATGGCAGCCATGGTGGGTTATTTCCACCAGGTTATGGGCATAGTAATGACGGGTTATAGTCAATTAATTAATAACAATATATGTTTAACGATATATGAATACACATATGTAATGGTTGATAGATATTTAATAATATATATCATCTTATCCATGTCTGGCAGTGTGTTGTTGATATATATACATGTATTAACATTGAATCTTGAGCTGGTGTGCCCTTAAATATGGCAGCTGCAGCGGGTAACTTGCGCTAGGTTATGGGCTGAATTTCTGTTTGCTAAAGTCAACCAATTAGCAATACTACATATTTACCGTGCGAAAAAGCGTGGAGCCGCATCGCTTAGCCACTCCCTATGAATAAGTCCGGAAGTGACAAAACGTGTCAGATTTTGGCTAAGCGAGAACCGGAAGTGACGCGGGATTGTCTGAGAGCGATGACCGGCAGTGGTGAGAGCATTGTGCGGTCTTCCCTCTCTGACATTACCTTCACAAAGGCAGATGTATATCTTTGGGCTTATCTTGCATTTTTTTCTTGTAAGTGAGTTTCCTTAACCACTTCAAGTCCAGACACTTTCACCCCCTTCCAGTCCAGGCCAATTTTCAGCTTTCAGTGCTATCACACTTTGAATGACAATTACGCGGTCATGCAACACTTTACCCATATGAAGTTTTTAGCATGGTGACACTGTACTACTTGTGGGGGGTGATGAAGATTTTTTTTTTTTTACACTGATTGCTTTTACACCCATAAAGGCTGTAAAATCAATCATTTCTCCTTCTCTCTGGCTGCATTCTTGCAGCCATTGAGAAATACTGTGTGAGCTGTCATTGGTCACAGCTTGTCACATGGTACAAGGCTGTTGTGAATAACCTTGTGTCAAGGTCCTACCTTTTCCCAGAGGTTATGTTACTCCATGTGCTGGCATCCATCTTGGATTTCTGCAGAGCATGGTGGGAATCTTTTATGCCTTCAGGTCTCTGAGGTCCATCCCCCAGAGGTGTGTGGCTGATTACATATAAACCTGTGGTCCGCACATGCTCTTTGCACTTGTGTCTTGTGTCTCTGTGTTGCTACAGCTCTGTTCTGACTCTCGTGACTCTCCTGGAATCTGACTCAGCTTGTGACTCGACCATTCTTTGTGTTCTCCTTTGATCTGACCCTCCGTTGCTGAATCCGGCCCGTGACCTGTGATTCTCGTCTGCTGTCCTGTACCATTTTGTCCCGTTGTTGTCGACCCGGCCTGCCCGACTACTCTATTGTCCTTTCCACCAGCTACACGCCATTGGCGGCGGCCATTACCGCAACTGGGGTGTCTCGGGGGCCGCGACATGGTTCCTGGCTGCGTCAAGTCCATCCCCACCATCAGGGGCCCTGGTGAAGGGCAGCCTGGGACTTAGACTCCACGCCCTGAGGGACTTCGGTCTGTGGGTGGTGGTTGTCATCAGCCAGTGAGTTACATTGTTATTAGGCCTGCCTGTTTGTTCCTCAGCTCCTGCCCTGACACCTTGACCCATGTGACCTCTGTGATCATTTACAGATTTCATATGTAGTAAGCAATGATGTCAGAAGTGACATCTTGCTTACTACTCTGCATATGATCACTGATTGGCCAACCAGTGATCACATGATTGGGACCTCGCACAGAGGTCCCATACGACGATCGGTGTTCCACTGTGTCTGACACAGCGGGCGCTGAATCGTGGTGCTGCGCGCTCCCAGGGAGCGCGCACAAGCAGTGGGCAGGGAGTCCGTTTATAAACAGACACCTGACCCTGCACTGCCACTGTTATATATAAATAGTATTTATATACTGTTGTATATAAACAGCTGGATGGGAAGTGGTTAAAGCAGGGATTAAATGATTTTAAATGCTACTGCACCATGTCGGGTCTCTATTTGCTTTCTTTCATATGCTATGGAGAGTCATTACCAGAGATTGCAGATCTGGAGTTGTGGTGCCATTCTGGGAGAATTACTGTGGAGAGTCTGTTACAGAGGCTATTGATTTGGAGTGTTGGAACCATTCTGAGGAAATATCGATGTATGTGAGCAAACATCCTTGTCTGGAGAAATATATGTTTATACCAAAGCAAATTTTGCCAACCATGAGAGTGGGAGGCAAATAAAGTTGTTGAGCGCACACCTAAAGGGGGAGCACAGTACTGTTTGGAAATTTATTTACAGTCACCTGGTGGTTTTATTTGAAATTCAACTCACATGGTGATTTCAAAAAGTACTTTATTGATGGACTTTTTGTTTATGATTATTTTTATATGATTTACAGAGCGCTGCATATATATTTTGTTATTTAAAAATATTATTTATTTGTTACAATTTTTTGCTCACAGTAGAAAGTAGCAGCTATTTTTATTATCATTATAAATCACATATTTATTATTTGGGGCGCAGTTTGTATTCAGAAAGGTAGAATATATATGTATTGATATATATATATTTTACCTGCAGATATACGGTGTGTTATATGCTTTAGTCACTATTTCCAGAATTAAAAAAAAAAAGTTTTGGTTGGAGATAAACTTTAAGGCAGGGAATCCTTGAGGAGCCTGAATCATTACTGAAGTGGCGCCATCTACTGGACAAATCTGGGGGTGCAGTTGTAAGTGATTGCAGAACATTGTAGTGTTTATCATGTGAATATTTGGTAAGTTTTTTTTTTTTTTTTTACAGCCAAATGATTTGTCAGCTAACCTTTTGTCACCTAATATAGTCTTTTAAAGTTTCTACAGTTAAATGTGTATGCAGACCTGATAAATAATGAGTGCCAGGGCCCGTATACATTTGTGGGGTGCATATTGCATTGCATTAAATCACGCATTACTTTTTATTGTATTAAGGCAGCTCATTTAAATCAATGGGCTTCTGACACAGAAAAATGTCTCAACTATTAGACACGTCACCAAATGTTTGCCGCAACATGCTACAGTGCATCGCCATGTGTTGCAAAGCATTACAATGTATGTTTGTTGGGGTGTAATTAAAAATAAATGGCAACGCAATGTGTCTACAAGTGTCGCAGTAATTCAGAGAAGTAAATTGGCCCTTTAGGTTCTTAATGTTTTCAGTACCCTGTTCTATATACAGTATATCTAGGTATATCTAGGTACTGGGGGGTCAGCAGTATTATACATACAGTGCCTGCTTCCAGTTTATTAATTCTGCACAGTGATGTGTTTTGCTCTTATTGGAATAGATGGCTACATATATCACAATTATCAGCAAAATTACATATTGTAGACATAATTTGTAGAAAGCTGGAGTATGTCTATGCCTCACTCGGGTGTCATTCTCCTGACACAGAATCCTATGTAATTATAAATTTAACAGCATGTATATAATAGTATATATAAAGTTTGTTTTTTCTTTTGTCCTCTGAATAGAACTAGAGTACTATAAGACCATACTACACAAAGCTGGATTTATATGTGCATACCTGGGAACCTACTGTATGTTACCCGGCAGTACAGGAATTCAGCTTCGGATGCCGGGTCATTACTGAAATCGTTATATCTCCGGAATTTCTACTCTGAGATGTAAATAAAGCACAGCGTGTGTGTGATGTTGTTTTTCTGCTTCATGCACACTGCGCTCTGCATTTACTGGCTGCCAGGAGAGGAGAAGGAGCTGTGCAAGAGCAAAGTACAGGCGTACCTTACCTCGGTTTACGAACGCCTCTGTTAATGTGATTTTCGGTTTACAAATGAAAATCCATTGAAAATAATGCCTTGGTTTACAAATTTTTTTTGCAATACGAATGGATTAATTGGTTTTCAATGCATTTACAAATTTTTTTTTAATCATGTCCCTTTATGCCCTTAAAGTGTACTTTATAAAGAGTTTAGAACAGATAAAAGATTTTTTTTTACTTTTTTTCTGACCTCTGGAACTGATTAATTGGTTTTCAATGTATTTACACATTGTTTTTTAATCATGTCTCTTGATGCCTTTAAAGTGCACTTTATAAATAGTTTTGAACAGATAAAACTTTTTTTGACTTTTTTCTGACCTCCGAAATGGATTAATTGGTTTTCAGTGCATTTACAAATTCATTTTTAATCATGTCCCTGTACAGTACGTATGCCCTAAAGTGCACTTTATAAAGAGTTTTGAACAGATAAAAGACTTTTTTTAAAACTTTTTTTGACCTCCAAAATGGATCAATTGGTTTTTAATGCATTCCTATGGGAAAGTTCGAGAAGTCCCGCAGAACAAATTAAATTCGTAAACCAAGGTACGCCTGTAGACAAGTGTGTATAAGGTAGCTCATAGGTGATTCAGTTGTCTTTCCACTACGGAAAGGAAGGCAAGAAAATGGCTCAATTCTCCCATCAACCCATCAATCCCCCAGAGTCTTTGTGTTCTGCTGGCGGTGGGGGGCTGGTTTGGGAGGGAATGTTATTGCGTGGAGCTTCCCGGCTGCTGGAACACCATGATTACTGCCAGTGGCTATAGCCACTGGCAGTAATTCACGTAGAAAAATCCTATTGGCTGGTTGTAGCCACATCGTCTGATGGGTCAACTCAGGTACAACCATCCTGCCCATACATGC